AAAAAAATAAATTAAGAAGCAGAAAAGAAACAGACTCATAGATACAGGGCATGTTTTGATGGTTGCCAGATGGAAAGGGGATGCAGGGAATGGGTGAAAAAGGTGAAGGGATTAAGAAGTACAAATTGGTTGTTACAGAATAGTCATGGGGGTGTAAAGTACAGGAAATATAGTCAATAATATTTTAATAACTATGTATGGTGTCAGATGGGTATTAGATTTATCAGGATGATTACTTGGTAAGTTTTAGAAATGTCTAATCACTGGGTGTACATCTGAAACTAATATAATATTGTATGTCAACTATAATTAAAAAATTTAAAAAATGATTTAAATAAAAACAAACATATTATGTCCAGGAATAGACCAGAGAATGCTTTTTTTATTTTTTTATAAGTCAAAGCATAAGATTTCTATAACCCAAACCTGACCTGTCCCATTTTGCTCTGCCAAATAAAAAGGGAAGACTATATTAGATATAACATTAAAAGGGCTTTGTTCAGTGATTCATGCACTGGAATTTTAATGTTATACTTTTCCTACAAACATGTTTTTAATAAGGCAGTAAACTGTATTGAGCTAAAGATGAAAATAATTGATCCATTTCGTGCCATTAAGGCAATTATTTTTAACTTTTATTCTACTTTTCATTTTCATGGAAAGTACAGAGGTAATAACAGATAAATTTCAATTAGTTCCAATTAATGTGGTAACTGTTATAATGTATTAGGTCTCTGGGTTCTATCTGAACACCCTCCACATCCCTCACTCTCCACGGCTGAGCCCTCCAGGTTTGGTTTGATTTGCAGTTGAAAGCAGCACTTGTGCCCATGACATCAGCTATTCTCTGGATGCTGGAGCAGTTCTATAGGTTAGAATACTTTACATCTGTAAACCCATCCAACTCTAGAGCCCGGAAATCCATTTCCTTCACACTGGACTAACTCCATCTCAGAACCATGGTATCTCCCCTGGAAGCAGAGGAAGGAGCGATAAAACAGCTCCTGGGAGGAGAGTGGTGTTTTGGGGTAGTATTTGTGTAGTTTCAATGAACAGAAGTTCAGAGGAGAGCCAGCCTCCTCCTAGTGACTGACCCTCCATTGTTTCTGCTCCCCAGCATCCACCTCTCCTCCTAGAACAGCGGTTCTCAACCTGTGAGTCTCGACCCTTGTGGGGGTCGAACCACCCTTTCACAGGGGTCGCCTAAGACCATCGGAAAACACATATATAATTACATATTGTTTTTGTGATTAATCACTATGCTTTAATTATGTTCAATTTGTAACTATGAAATTGGGGGTCACCACAACATGAGGAACTGTATTAAAGGGTCACGGCATTAGGAAGTTTGAGAACCACTGTCCTAGAACAACCCCTCCACTGACCTCAGCAAACAAGTCCCTGTGCTTCAGCAAAATGAAGCCTGGCATGTTCCAGGTTTCTTCTGGGTGCGATTCCTGGATGGATAGCTCATTACAGCCAATGAGACACACGAGATATTTTCCTTCAGACTCTTACGGGAAGAGCCCTATCCTCAGCAACTTCCCATCAACCCCACCGTGAACAAGTGAGAAGGGAAAATTAGCCCTGAAGGAGAAGAAGCTAACTCTCATGATAAATGTCCTCATTCTTCCTGGTTTTATTAAGGTGACATGAAAAGGAAGCAAGAACTGACAGGTGGAGGGATGGTAATGAATACAGAACACAGACCTGCTCTTATTTGTCATGATGTGCTGGACTTCCAGTTTCTAGTTTCAAATACCATCAGTCCATGACTGACTTGGAATGCACAGCCACCCCATTTCCAACTCGCTATTGTGGTCTTTCGTTCATTCTTGTTAGATCACTCTCTCTCTCTCTCTCTCTCTCTGCTGGATGGATGGATGCTACAACAGAAGGTTCATCTTCCAAAGTTGCTGTTTTGTGCACTGTCCCCCTTCACTAGTTCCCCAACCCCTAAAAAGCAACCAGTTAAACCTGCACTTGGCTGGACCCTGCGACCCTCCACCTTCATCTCCCTCTGTTGCCCTTCAAGGGTCTGCCCAGTCCAAGTTGTTGGGCCATTGTCTATTGTACACCAATAAAACTCCCCCACTTTTCTCTATTTGCTTATCCTGCCCTTCTTTATGGCTGAGATAAAAACATCTTTTCTCAGGAAACCTTGTCCAAACTTCACAGGCTCCAGGGCTATCACCAAGGCCAGGTGCCTCTCCACGACCAGACTGGCACCTGGTGTGCACAGACCCCCGTGTTTTGTGCAGAGACTGTGTCCCGGGCTGTGCTGTCACCAGGACAGCAGGAGCTGAGACTTTCATTCTGGGGAAACTTTGGTGTAGCCATAACTACATCACATGCAGTAGTAGTAAGAGTAATGCTAATAACAGCCTATGTTATTGAACTCTCACTATGTTTGAAACAGTGTTCTGAGTTGGACATGTTGTGTCTTATTTATCTCATTTATCTCACAATAACCCATATGAGGAAAATATTACCCAGAATGGGACTAATTAAATTCAAGTCTGAATATGACTCTAATTATGGAAAAGCTACACAGAGAAAGAGCTCTCTTAAGGCAGGAGGTTAACAGTTTCCTTTCTAACTTTTCTTACATGGGAAGTGATTTGAAAAGGGCCACTGCACAGAGTTAACTTGGTCAGGCCAGGTATCTCAGATGCCTCCCCGATCTTGGGGCCGGTATCTAAGCATTAAGAGCACCTACCTGGGAGGTGCTTTGGGGATGTCATAAAACATTAGACCTGGGAAAAGAGCCTACATTTAAGACACACACACACACACACACACACACACACACACACACACACTAATGTTTACATCCTTCGTATTTAGGCTGTTTGGTGGACAAAAGCAGGCACTCAGAGGGGTTTTATGCAGTGGTTGATTGGAGACATACTTAAATCTTACAAAAGCATTTCTCTTAGGTGGCATCAGAGTTCACCATTTGTGACAATTAGTCAACAGAAAAGCACTGATGCTCTTTGCCCATCTGAGAACCAAGAGTACAAAAAAGAAGGCATCAGAAGGAGAGCACAGTGACTTGGGATTTCAAAAGTCTCTGCCATATACAGTCAACCTTAAAAACTCGCATTGCCAGTTTCAAAGCCCTCTTTCTTGTTAAAATATTCCTGAGTCCTAATATGCCTAACAGCCAACAGTTTGAAGTTAAAACCCTGCATGATAATAGGATTAGGCACGATCCCAAGACATGGTTTTGTGTTTTCCGGGAGTTTAAGGTGCATTTTGACATCTGGACTTGATGAAATGGTAATGCTTTGTCACAAATCGTATGGATAAAAGCAGACTTCTGCAAACTATGTCTTATCACCTATTTTTGTAAATAAAGTTTTATTGGAACATAGCCATGCCCATTCATTGACATATTGGTTATGCTGCTTTCTTGCTACAATGGCAGAGTTGAGTCATTGGGACAGAGACCATATGGCCTGCATAGTCCAAAATATGTACAATCTGGCCCTTATAATAAAAGTCAGCTGACCCCCAGATTAGAGAATTTCCTAGGTCTAAGTAGGTCATTAGGCAGTGATTAAAGAATGACTAAAATGTTGAAAAAGGTTTAAACATATACAGATGCAAAACTGTAAATAATACAAAATATGAAAATACATTTACAAGTTTTAAGCCTGGTCCCCAGTATATATCTATATATTCTAACTCTTCCCCCCAAAGGTTCTAGACCCCGTTGGTTTTACGGGTGATTTCTGTTCAACTTTTAGGTTATAAGAAATATGTCAGACCCCAGGAAAATATGAAAAACTTCCCAAAAAACATTTTATGGGACTAGTATACACTTGATTCCAAAAACTTGGCAAGTAAAGCATATAAGAGAAAACTACAGGCCAATTTCACTTATGAATTTAGATGCAAATAGCCTATAAAGTATTCGCACATTGAGTCCAGCAATGTACTGATCTCATCTGATACTTATTTTTTATTTTTAATGTAATAAACTAATAATTTTTTAATGTAGTAAATGCATTAACCTGACAAAAATTCAACAAATACCTAAATCTCCCACCAAAAATCAGAGGAAACTATATTTAATTTTAATATAGCAATGATATTAACTTATATATTATATATTATTTTAAAATATATATTAAATACATTTATATGTTAAATTTTACATATTGATCCCCACATTCTGGGCATTCAGTGAATTTTACATCCCTGAACTGAATCCAAGGTCTGGGTTAGAATCTCAACTCTCCTTGGGTGGTTTTATAACCGAACCAAAGCAATGGCCCTCCCGGCGCTTTTGGTAAAATAAAGGGGCTGCACTGTGTTCTTCAGAGCTTGATTGCCAGGCTTCAATAAAGGACAAATAGGTAACCAGCCCTGTTCTAGTTGTTTTATCAGTCAAACAATTTTAATTTAATCCAAGCAATAGAGAGGATGAAGTTTGAATAGACACTTTTGAGTGGCAGAGGCATTTGTACAAATGCTTCATGCTCTCATTTTGATTCAAAAAGTGGCATGCAGCTCGAGGTTGTGTGTTTGTGGGAAGGACTGTGCAGCCACGCCAGGCAAGAGAACAATGGATGGTGAAAAGAAGAAAAGAGCCCTTTCGACACAGACCCTCCTTTTTCTTCCCAGATCTTTTCAGCTTCACAAAAGGAGACATATTTTCCATATAATTGCTAAACATGTTTGCTTATTAAATTATTCTTTAATTAGTTAATGATTTTAGCCATGCTTTGCTCTTTGGATATTCATTTTGTATAATAAAATAATTATAGATAATTAAACTATCTCAAGCCTCTTTCTTTCCCCCAGCAAACATGCTGGGGATCCAAAAATGACAACAAGTTGTAAATTAATCTGGAAAACAAAGCCTGACAGATGAATGATTTGGTTGGAATTAATTAGGCATTAATTAAATACTGGAACTAGATGAAGAATTAGATTCATTATTAAAGAAACAACACTGTTCTGAAAAGATGTGCAGTTACCCACATCCTTACCTTCTGTGGTGATGGCGTTGTTTCTTATCCAAATCTGGGCCTTCAAGCAGTCCTCTTCATCATTGAGAGTGAAATGATTACGAGGAACTTGATCGGTGTATCGCTGCTTTCTATAACCTTCTTCAACGTCTCTGTTTGTCAGGTGTTGACCAATATCAGCCCCTGAAGGGCATGGGACCTGAGGTATGTTACAGAGAAATGCTTATTTCAGTGGTAACAGATGAAGCACTGATATAGCACTAAACAAACAAATAAACAAATAAATCATAGCAATGTCTGGTATAGCAAGGCCTTTTTCTGTCCCCAGATACAATTCTTTTCATTGAAGCAGCTAATTCTCAGAAGGAGTTGCTCTGATTATATGATGCTGTGTAACAAATTATTCCAAAAGTCAATGGTGTGAAAAGGCTTACAGATTCTGAAGGTCAGTAATTCAGACAGGGCAGGGGTGGGGTCGGGGGGGAGGGGGGGAAATGGACAGTTTTCTATGTGAACAATGTCAGAGGCCTGAGTGGGAAGACTTGAAGGTTGGGGGTGACTTGAAGGCTGGGTGCTGAAATCATTTGGAGAGAAGCTCTCTCAATCCTTTTTCTTTCTTCCAGAAAACTTGCTGGGTATCCAAAAATGACAAAAACGTCTCGCAGTTGATATTGGCCGTGGGCTGGGATCTTAGCTGGGGTTGTTGGCTGGAACATCCACATGTGGCCTCTCCATGTGGTCTGGGCTTCCTTACAACATGGTGGCTAGGTTACCAGGGCAAGTGCCCTGAGAGAAAAAACCAGTCCAGAGAGCTCTGTGTTCTTTTCTAATCTCATCTTGGAATTCTAGTGGTGTCCCTTCCACCATGTTATAGTCATGGAGGTCCTTATATTCTAGACGCCTGCCCAGGGTCAAGAGGAGGAAACCTAAAATCCACCTCTTCCTGCAGGGGCAGTGAAGCGTTGGGAAAACACGTGGAACTGGATTGGTGTGGCCATTTTTGGTGAGAACAATCTACACAGAAGCAATTATATCAGGGGTTGAAATCCAAGTGCTTATGGGCTCCAGGCAGAAAAGAAAATGAGGAAAGTGGACTACTGTTTACTTATGAAAAGTGTAGGATCATTCTACACTTTGTTAGAGAGATATTTCTCTCTCTCATCCCCATCTCCATCTCTCTCAACATAGCCCTCTCAGTATAACGTCCATTCTCACTTTTGACACAGAGTGAAAACAGACACTGTAAGGAAAGCAACAGTAAAAACACAGTAAAGGATGATGCTGACACTTGTCCTCAGTGTCAAGGACTCTGTGGCAAACTGAAGGGCTCTGGTCAGAGTTTGGCCACAACTCAACTCCATCCAGTTGTTGCCAAAATAGAGTGTGGATTCAGTATGGCCAGATGTGATTTCTCAAGAAATGCTAGGTACTTTTATTTTCCTGAGGACTCTTGGTTTTTTTTTTTATTATTATTTCAGTTCAAATTAAAATCAAACAAACACCACTGTGAACGCCAAGTAAAATAGCAGTGGAGTGTGTTTTCCCAGTGGGCCAAACTTTTACCTCTCCAATTTTCATTTGGCAGCCAGGTGACTATGTGGATGATAACGAGGCCAACACTGGGAGCAAGATCTAAAGGTAACTCGATGCCTCCGCTAGAAGACCTGCACGAGCTGCCTGATATTTTCGTGGTACAAGGCCTCAGGGTGGTGGGGCAGGGGTGGCACTCAGCCACGATGGGCAAAACGTTCACTTGTAGTAGAGGTGAATATGGGTGCAGAGGAAGTGCTTGTCTCTTGAAAGATGCCTTGTTGTACTGGGTAGATGTGAATGCTGGCTGGCGCGTGAACAAATAGGGCAGCACTAAACCCCAGATGACCTTTAGGGAAGTTTTTGGTTATATTCTTCCTCAACAGAAATGGTAAAGCCACAGTACATTACTGTGATGTATTTAATTCCATTGCAAACTGGGTTAGCTAATTTTTTTAAAAAAAATCAAATTTTTAAAGCTGGATGTCCTCTCTCCATGAAGAAGTTGCAGTAGCATTTTATTTAGTAAAAAGAAAACCCAACTGAAATTGTGGAGATAAAATTATCTTATTAGCAATATAATTTGTTTAGCCATATCACACTAGAATTTTGCTATTACTGTATTCATAGTTACTATAAAAACAGTCCACTGAGGGCTTCAGTGGATGGTTCAAAGTGCAAGTATTGACTACTGTGCTTTGGAGGTTTGAAATCTCACCATAATTACAATAAATATTGTAGTATAAAAGAAAAGAAAATTTGGGTAACATTATGCCAGTTTAGTAAGCCATGCTTTAACAAATCAGGAAAAGTCCTTGGCAGAAAATGGCAGGGCTAAAGAACAAATTGAGAGCTAGTCAAGTTATAAAACTATCAATGGTTATTGTTTCAAATAGTGGGTGTATGGTTTAAGAAACAATGAGGAGAAGGGAAAAGAAGAAGAAGGTCCAAAATGAAAATTGGCTTACTACAATCCTGAAACAGAATTGTATTTTTATAACCCATATCATCCTTGTGTGCACTCAAATATGTGGCATTTTTGCACATTTCTAAACTATAAAGAATTAGAAAAATTAAATAAAAAATAATGGGATTATATATATACCGGTATATATATTTTTCATATTCACATAATGGCATTTTCACAGAATAGGCAAAACCGAAATTAGGATTTTAAATGCCAAGGCCCATTAATCCATCTACACGGAGTTTAGCAGAACTCAATACATAAAAAAGGATCTATGGGGAAATTTATATTATGTCATCAAAGTAAGGGAGAGAATTAAGATGGAAAGGAAGGCCTGGCTATTATTTAATGAAGAAGTATCATCAATGCTGGCTACCAAAATGAGAGTGTTTTCTGCCACTAAACTGCCACTAACATGTGATTGGAGAATAGCAGACAACTTTTCAACCATTAATTCCATCAGATAATTCTGGATTGAGCACTGCCAGCATCAGTGGCTGCTGGGAGCCTGTTGGCCATCCCAGATGCCTCAGCAAGTTAGTAACTGAACAGTGGCGGGGGCTGCTGGTGGCAAACTTAATATCCTGTCTCCCTTTCTTAGTAACAGACTTCTGGGAAATAGGCTTGGCTGAGAAATTACATTTTCATGTTGGAAAGGAGTCCTTGGGTGGGGCAACATAAAATGTCATTTTGCTCTAGTCCTTTCTCCTTCCTGTTTCTTGCAAATGGCATGGCTGGCGCCACAGCAGCCACTTCAAGATGTTGAGATGGAAGCCACATATTAAAGATGGAAGAACAAAATTTAGAAGGGCCTGGTTTCCTGATGACACCAGGCAGCTACCTTACCAGGCTGAGTTGCTTTTCTCCAGATATTTTTAATGAGAGAAAGAAACAAACTTCTTATTTTTGACTTCAGGTATAAACAGTTAATTCTAGAATTTCTGTGTTGTAAAGACTTTTAAAAGCCACCACGTGTAGTCCCTGGACCACACCTGTGAGAGGGGGAGGGAGGGAAGAAGGAAGAAAGAGCAAGGAGACAGGGAGGAGAGAGACAGAGGCAGTGGTGAAGAACTCGTGCCCTTGAGTCAGACCACCAGGGTTCCCAGTCTGTCACTTTGTCATCGTAACTTCACTGCATCTGGGATCCCCTATAAAATGGGGGTGAAAGTGGTAGGACCTCAGAGAGTTACCCCAAGGATTGCATCAGTTAACACAACTGTGGCAAATGGCAAAGACAAAACTCTGTCAGGTGTTCCTACCCCACGTGTGAGGCCTCCATGGAGGCATCTTGCTGTCTCCTGGGGATGGACATTCCCTGTTGGAAAAGACCCTGACTCTTAGGAAGTTGTTTCTTAGGATGAATCAGCACTGTATTCCCATCGCATCTGGTGGTCTGTCCTAATTCAGCTCTCCGGGGCCATGATGTACAAGTCTAACTCGTTTTCTATATGAAAAGCCTTCAGGTTTTTTGAGGTTAAGTATCCTGAATCTTCACCCCTCTGGCTAAAAATCTTGGGTGTCTTTGAGTCTCTGGATGTGCTTTCAGCTTGTTCTTTCTCTTCTTAAATGTGACTTCAAGAAACAAATACAACACTCCAGGTGTAGTTGTTTTTGTGACATGTTCTTTGACACAGTCATGCTCAGCAGGTAAGGGGCTCATCATCTCTACAAGTGGTGTGCGCTGCTCTCTTTTCTACCTGTTTGCAGCAGGCTCTCTCCTGCGGCTGCACCATTCTGGATACCATGCTCTTATTCGCCCATCTAAGATGTAATTAGTCTCCACGGAGACCAACCACATCATGTTGCTGACCCACGTCCAGCTCGCCATAACCAACATCTCTCACCTGGTTGGATGTTCCTGCCCCGCCCGCTGGCTTCCAGTGAGTGTCACCCCTTTGAGGGTCCCCACCACGCTCTTCTCGTAGTCAATACCAGACTCATTTGGCTCAGAGTTGACAGATTTTTATTCTTCCTCTTTTTGAGATAACCCAAACCAGGCAAGGGGCAGGCACTTCTCCCTCTCTGCATGACTCTGGGAGCCATGGGAGCGGCTCAGCGACCTCAGTTGTGAACTGAGTGGTTTCAGAGTGGTTTTCAGGACCAGCATGTACTCACCAATAAACATAATCAAATCCATAGGCAAGGTGCGGAGGGGGTCAGAGGGTGCTGAACGTGAACTAGGTAAATCTTCATCTTCCCAAATGGAAAGATCAGAGATAATGCCAGAAGTTGATAGATCAAGGAAAAACCTTCTACAAATGCATTATTATAGAGTTCAGGGGTAAAGGTTTTGAAGAACTAACAATAAAAATGCCTCAGAGTGGTTGCCCCTGGCTTAGAAGCAGAGAACAGCCTTCCTCACATGCAACCCTGCAGTATAATTTAATGTTTTATCTTGTGCCCGGATTATCCGATGACAAGATTAAGTGATATGCATTTGGATATCAAAATATTGCATACTATTTTAGAATGATAGGTGCCATTTAAAGGTCTGATTCGAGGTTAAGACTTGTAATTATATTTTGTAACAGATATCCTCTTGTTTTGGGTTTCTGCTTTATTTTCACCATTTTGGTTTTTGTTGCTGTGTGTGTTTTTTTGTTGTTGTTGTTTTTTGTAAATTATGAAATTGGGACAAAACCATGAGAAAGTTGGAGAAGGAAATTGGAAAAGAAGTAACAACTGGAGTCCCCCCACCTCCAAGGGAATTCGGCTGCTTTTTTTTTTTTTTTTGTATCACTCTATGTACCTTTAATTTTTATGTCCTTCTGGAAAAACTAAATTGGAACTTCTTTTATCACTCTTCAATTCATTTTTCCTGTTGTACAAAGGGCAAGAGCTTAATGTGCCACAGCTAAAGCTGCCGGGGCAGCTGGACACACATGGGCAGATGCCCGAGTCTGCCACTCATATTTTCCAAAGTCTGCGATTGCAGGCAGCAGCTGGAACTCAGTGGAGCAGGTGAAGGGGGGCAAGCTAAAGGGGTGCATGGTGCTTTCTTCTGGTATAATGCTTTAAAAAGAGGAATACTTAAGTGCCAAAATAAGGCATTCCTCCAGTTTATTCTTATCCTTTAACTAGGAAAAAGGAAAAGGAAGTCACTCGGAGGCTCAGAGTGTGGTCTAGTCACTAGCTTCACCTGGAAGCTGGTTAGAACTGCTGTGTCTGTCGCCCCAGCCCCTTTCCCACTCTCAATCTGCATGTGAATGAGATGTACAGGGCGGTATGTACACATTACACTTGGAGAAGTGCTCCTTTCAGGCACAGATGAGGATTCTAGGTTGAGAAAGTTCAAGTCAGTGGTTCTTTGCCTGGACTTAGAATCATCTGGGAGCTTGAAAAAAAAAATACTGATGGTTGAGTCCCGAGTCTCCACCCCAGAATAATTAAAACAGCACTTCTGGGCTTGGGGGCAGGCACGGGTGTATTTTAAAAGTGCTGCAGGTGATCTCAATGTGCAGGCAAGGCTTAGAACTGCAGGTTAAGTTAGTCAGTTGCTCAGCTGTCCTGCCTCCCCCGACCCCCCACACGCTGCTTCTCCTTGGCTTGGCTATGAAAGAAAACCTGCACCCTCTCCTCCCCGCCCCCCACCCCTTACCCTCCCGCCCAAGAATCCAGGGCCATTCACAAGATGCCAAACTAAGACATGAAGATGGCAGTGCCTGGGGTGGGGATGGGTTACTTCATACTCCTTGGGAACAAACCTATCCAGGTTTCTTGGAGAAATGTAATGAAAAGACCCCCTCGTTGAGTTACAAAATAAATCTCTTTTGATGAAAGAGATGCCCTATTTTGTGGGCCACATGACATGCAAATGTGTGTGGCAAAGTGAGAAGGTTAACATTTGCTTCCCCAAGACATTAAACAGCTTCAGTTGTATCCAGCAATGCTTTCCTCAAAGGAGGTTTGAGAATTTCATAAAAAATGGACAGCATGACCACGGGTTAATCAATCAGTCACATTTCCTAGGTTCATAACTGAGAGACAAAAGAAAGCCAGGGTTGACAGGAGGCACGCGTGTTTGAACCACTGCTGCGTGAGCCCATCACCACCGCCAAATGTCAGCCTCTCGAGGCAGAAGTTAATTTCCACAAGTGCATACGGGGCTGTGTCTGGATGCTGCTCTGGTGGCGGCAAGTGTCAGACTTCTGGACAACAGCATCAAGAATGACATTTCCCCGACCTGCTGTCATTTTCATCCCTGAGCCGAATGCTTTTCTTGGAATGGGTTTCTGTGAGGTTTTCGGACATGATTTTGGCCGCGTGCGTGAGCTTTGGAGGACGCTTTTATGAATACAGAGTGGCAGCTGCCCGGCGAGAAGGCGTGCTCTTCACCCAGAGAGCGTGCGCCTGGCAAACACTCACCACCCAGCTGGCCACGCGCGGCCTCACCTGGTACTGCTGCCCGGTGCAGAGGATGAGGTGGTCATAGAGCACAATGTCTTCGTGGGAAACCACGACATGCTTGGCTGCCCGGTCTATGGCCGTCATCCTACCAACCACCACGTTGACCCAGGAGCACAGGGACATCAATGCGTGATCTTTATCATTATAACTCTGGCTGCGGAGAGAGGCGCTCCGTCAGTGACATTTGAGCAGCTGACAGGGGGCATTAATTAGACATCTGGCGAGCTGTTCAGGTCCCCCCTGCTCCCCCCCACTCCACCAGGACTGAGTCTGTGCTCTTGCTGTGGGTTTACCAGGACCAAGGATATGCAGTAGGAGATTTTTTGTTATGAGAGAGTCACACAATGACATCTTTCCATTAAAGCTAAATTGTTCTGCTTAGTGTTGGCCAGTCCACAACAGGGAGGGAATGTGTGTGTGTGTGTGTGTGAATCATCCTATATAATAAATAGGTAATATGCAAATTAATCCTCACGCCCTCACAAGATGGCTGCCTACGACCAGGCCGGCAGGGGGGTTAGTGAGGGACGACCAAACAACTGAACAAGAAGTCTGCATGGGGCGACCAGGCTGGCAGGGGGGTTAGTGAGGGACGACCAGACAACTGAACAAGAAGTCTGCATGGGGCGACCAGGCTGGCAGGGGGGTTAGTGAGGGACGACCAGACAACTGAACAAGAAGTCTGCATGGGGCGACCAGGCTGGCAGGGGGGTTAGTGAGGGACGACCAGACAACTGAACAAGAAGTCTGCATGGGGCGACCAGGCTGGCAGGGGGGTTAGTGAGGGACGACCAGACAACTGAACAAGAAGTCTGCATGGGGCGACCAGGCTGGCAGGGGGGTTAGTGAGGGACGACCAGACAACTGAACAAGAAGTCTGCATGGGGCGACCAGGCTGGCAGGGGGGTTAGTGAGGGACGACCAGACAACTGAACAAGAAGTCTGCATGGGGCGACCAGGCTGGCAGGGGGGTTAGTGAGGGACGACCAGACAACTGAACAAGAAGTCTGCATGGGGCGACCAGGCTGGCAGGGGGGTTAGTGAGGGACGACCAGACAACTGAACAAGAAGTCTGCATGGGGCGACCAGGCTGGCAGGGGGGTTAGTGAGGGACGACCAGACAACTGAACAAGAAGTCTGCATGGGGCGACCAGGCTGGCAGGGGGGTTAGTGAGGGACGACCAGACAACTGAACAAGAAGTCTGCATGGGGCGACCAGGCTGGCAGGGGGGTTAGTGAGGGACGACCAGACAACTGAACAAGAAGTCTGCATGGGGCGACCAGGCTGGCAGGGGGGTTAGTGAGGGACGACCAGACAACTGAACAAGAAGTCTGCATGGGGCGACCAGGCTGGCAGGGGGGTTAGTGAGGGACGACCAGACAACTGAACAAGAAGTCTATATATTCTTCTGCTTCTATTTCATGGTGAGCACAAACTTACTTTGGCTGTTGACTTGTCCTAGTGCAGGGGTGGGCAACCCCTGGCACGCGTGCCAAACATGGCACGTCAGTAACTTTTGCTGGCACGCAAAACCCTCTCTTACAATCTTCCATTTACAATTTTTTTCTTAATATCAACTTTTTTATTTTTCAGATAAATTCAGTGTAGGCGCATCTTAGATAAATAAATAATTTTACATAACATGTATACATTAAAAAATAAATGTATTTTTCATTATCATATACTGTGGTTTTGTCGCCCGAATGAATTTTATTATTTCTTCAAGGTTCTTCACATACATACACCTTAAGAGATATCAAGATGGCGTAACATGTTCTCAAAAAATTAGGGTTGGCACACAGAAGAATTTTGAGTCAGAGATTTTGCTGGTTTTGGCATGCACTCACAAAAAGGTTGCCCACCCCTGTCCTAGTGACAAAGGACTGAAAGGGGATGAGGAAGAAGAAAGTGACATTGCGCAGGATTCCCCAAGGTAGGGGTCAAGGGCCTGAATATTGAGAACCCGGCCTATTTGCTAATGCTTTTCAATAGATTTCTCCTTCTTAGAATGAGTGTATGGATTTGTGCCCAAACAACAAAACACGTTGTCTTTAGAGAAGATGTCAATTAGGGAATTACGTTAGAAGCAAGTCTAGCTCCTGGAGACTTTCGGGATCCACTCTGCAGGGCAAAGGTGACTTAGGGGGAACTGGTACTTTTGTGAGCAGCAGGTCCAGGGTTTTCTTGTCTGGGTTCCATCTGAGTTTGAGTATTCTGCCATAATGTGAGAGAAGCGGCTTTCTTGTTGGCGTTGGTTTTTTTAAAAAAAGAGTTTTGTGAGGGTTGTTGTAGAACTTTCTGGAAGGTGTGACCTCCTACACGTGACACTCTTAGTGACCTTGTTCTGATATCATAACAAGAGGGCAGGGTGGCAGAATAGTAAGTGTTTCATTTAAATCTAGGCTTCCCTGTGCCGAGGTCTGTGTCACCAGTGAGACCGGGCCCTGGGACCCTGCATCCCCTTTCGACACTTCAGCTTCCTCACCTCTCAACCTAGGATAATTCTCCTCCCCGCAGGCCTCGACCATTGTAAGGGACGAATGTGAGAATGTAAGAGATGCTGCTTTATCAAGTGGGATGCATATGTGAAGGGTATTATTCTAAATAATATTAATGATACATAATCCTGTTTACTCTCCTTGGAGGCAAACAGGACTAAAGTGATAATGGAAGAGCATTTTTTCTTTTTGATCCACTCGGAGTCTGCTCTCAACACACAAAAAGAATTCTCGTAATGGATGCACATTAGGCCCCGTTCTGGCACCCATGAAAGAGAAGGGAGCACTGGGCTTTGTGTCTCTCCATGAAACAACACTTAAAAACAAGAAAATCTCTTCTTAATAAGAAAAGAAAATTGGGGGCTGGCCTGTCACAGGAAAATAATAGAGAGTGAGATGAAATTCTTAAAAAAAAAAAAAAACCAACACATTTTGGTAGCTTCACAGGAAAACAAGAAACCTCATTGATTTTGTACATTCATGAGAGATCCACAAAGGATTGTTCTTATTTGCATCACCGTCTCTTCATAACAGGAACAGCCCTGTCAGCCGCCCAAAATGAGGAAAAATTAAACATAGTTAGTGCATAGGAATTAGTCTTTTGAGGATCTGCTCAAAGATAAAGTTCTCAGGGGAAATTTGGGGGAGTCGAGGACAATGTTATTTTTAACGACCATAGGACAATAGTGTGATAATGTTAGCACGCAGATTTCAGAGTTCACATTTGAAGCTCTGTCTGGTGGGAACTGAGTTTTAGGAACCCTAGGAAGCACTGAGGAATGTGGGGTGCTGCTTTTATAGTCTGTTACCGTGGCTTTTCTCAGGTTAGAATGTCACCATGCAGGTGATGACCATCTGTTCTGGATATCCCTATCTACTCTGGACCTCCTTTAATTTACTCATCAGGTAGGTGAAACTAAACATTGGAAATGATAAGTGATATTTCCCCCAAATTATTTCCTAAGCAGAGTGAGTGAGCCTTGCTTCTAACGTGGTAGGGACAGTCTCATGGCCTGAGGACAAGAGAAGTACTTCCATTAGGATTCTCTGGAAAAGGGAGAAGGAACCAAAGAAGGGACATCAATGAAACTTGATGTTTCTCAAGTGAACTTGACCCTGACTTGAAAAGAATGTGAAAGGTTGTCTCATAGAACGTTCTGGAGACAGGTAGTAAGTAAAAAAAAGCAGAAATGCAGGATGGGAAAATTGTTAGAAGGGACATTGTGACAAGCGGCCCACTTGTTCAGAGTTGTAGAGGCCCCCACATCTGGTGTCAGGAGACTTAGCCCAACGCTCCAGATGCAAAACGAGAAGCAAGCCCCAGGGGAGTCAGTATAAGTCCGGTGCAGACCTGCACTCCATGGAGTCAGAACCCTTCAGAACTGGAGAGAACCTCGGAGGTTTTCATAAAGGATTTATCAGGACTCTTAGAAGGAGGAGCATCACCATGAATGAACGTTCAGTTACTCAGGGCTGATTGTCCAATTAGTGGATTTCTCCTGTTTCCGCTTTCCCCTCTCCTCCCACTGCCTGCCCTTCTGCTGCGTCCCTGGCATGTCATTAGCACCTCCACCAGACGCTGGACAGGGCCAGAGAGCGAAGACAAAAACTGGCTTATGAAAAATATAGTAACAACAAAAATAAATCAAAACACTGGTTAGGGCAGAGTTTAGAATTCGTATTTAAAATGAGGAATAGAAATTATTAAATTTAGGATTGTCGATGCACTTGTTATTTTTTAAACTCTGCGACCAAAGATAATTTCCTTTATTTGAATATGAGGGCCGTTTGAAAGGCAACATCCTCTTTATGTTTCAACGTGTAGTTTCTAGAATGAAGACATGCAGTTACCCGTTCAGAGGCACCGGGCTGTGTTATTTCCTTTCTACCCACAGCCTGATTAAGAAGACTTTCACAGGCACTTTTGGAGGTAACCTTCATCTTCTCCACATTATTTACTGAGCACCTGCTATGTGCCGAGCACTGTCCTACATGCTGGGGGCACATCAGCGAGCAAAGAGGCAAAAAATTCCTGCTCTCGTGGAGTTTACATTGCAGTTGAAGGATCCAGAATATGAAGAAAAAACCATCATTTTAAAAGGCAAATTATGTAATATTTAGAAGGATTTCAGTAGCAAGAAGGAATGGAGCAGAGTGAGGAGGATGGAGGGTTGGTTGCAGATGATTGGGTGGTCAGGGGAGGTCTCGGTGAGAAGTTGACATTTAAGCAAAGACTTGGAGAGAGAAAAGCAAAGCCCCACAGTGAGGAGCTGCCTGCTGTGTTTCAGGAATACTGAGGAGGCTGGAATGGTTAGAGTAGAAAGAACAGGGGCAGCAATGGTAGAAGATGAGGCCAGACAAACAATTGAACAGGAATAGGTTTTAGGTTGGAGCATTCCAGGACTTTCTGTGACGATGGGAATGGTCTGCAGCTGTCTGACATGGCAGCTACGAGCCACAGGTGGCTATTGGAGCACTTGCAATATGGCTAGCATAATTGAGAGGCTGAATTTTAAATCTCGTTTAAGTCTAATCAATTTATGTTTTACTTAAAAAACAAGCTTTTATTTTATTTGAGAAATTGACAAACATTTTAACAGGAGAATCACCTAAAAACCCCACAATATAGAAATGTTTCTGGCATGATTAAAAAATAATTATTCTGTAACCAATAAAAATGTTGTCATTACTGACGCATCAACCACCGTATTTTATGACAGATGCCTTATTTTTCATTTTAAATAAGTCTTAAAACCTTTTTGGTAGTTTTGTGGATTCCATAATATCCTCTTTTTTTTTTTTAGATAAAATGGAGCATGATAATGCCATTAAAATCAAGATTTATATCTAAAAGCAAACTCCTAATAAGACTTTCCACCAAGACTATCCTACTCCCTCTTTTTTTGTATGTTATCACTTTAAAAACCTTACCTCTAATCAATTTAAACTTAAACAGCCACATGTGGCTAGGAGCCACCACCTGGGGCAGTTCGGGGGCTGACGTGGTCTGACTCACATTTGCGCAGCATCGTTCTGGTTGCCGTGCTGAGAATGTGGAGAGGCAAGCACACCAGGGGCCCCGGGAGACTTCCTACCCGGCCGCACACAGGTCCCACACGCTATCTCACCAGGACGGCATTCCTAGTTCTCTCCCACAGCACACCTACCAGGGGCTGGCCAGCCTTGGTCACGCTGAGTGAGTTAAACTGCTTGGGAGACATTTATCAATAACACCAGCATTTCCTGGGAAGCGTGTAAGTTAGAAAGAGGGCAATGAGGGGAGGGGATGTACATGTATGGATCCTCTACTTTTTGCCAGAACTTACTGTTACACTAATTTTAATAAAAAAGTCCAGCAAGGTTGGCTTATCAAATACTTTTCACAGTAAAAAACAACAACACACAAACAAAACCAAAATCCAGGGAATGAAAACCCCTTTGTGGTAGGGACAGGATCTGAACCTGAATCTACCTGGCTCAAAACCCATGATTTTTTCTTTTTTTTAAAAAACCACATCCTAATGATGCTCTTAAAAATAAAAAAGTTCATGGTCTGGTAAATGTATTAGGTCAGAATGAGCCTGGTTCTGCTAACAGGAAAGCTGCAGGTTTTCTCAGTTTGCCTCGCTGTTTGAAGGCAAAGTAAGCCTTTTTCACAGAGGAAAGAGGATCTCTTTGTCGTGGATTCTAAAATGAATACCCTGAGAGGGAACCATTTCCTTCCTCCTCATTAAAAACATGTGAGCACTGTTTCTAGAGGCAGGGAGCCTAATAATTCTTGTACCCGTGTTTTGCTGCAGGAAATTAAAATTACTGGAAGCTGTGTGATAATGAAGTGGGATTCTACCGGGGTGCAGACAGCAAAGCTTGCCGAGACTGGCCTGGAAGGTCTTGCCTGGTCAGCCCGGATTAGGAATGGCCTGGGTGGGTGTGAGACCCACCCCCCAGGGAGGTGCCTGACCTTTATCTCTCAACTCTGACCGTGGGGGCGTTGCCTGGTCTGATGCAAATACAATCGCCAAGCTCCCCTGCTCTACAGAACCCCACCGCAGACGGTGGCTGGGTCAGGAGGCTCCATCCATGGTTTGGAAGAGGGCACAGGTCTTCCCACAGGTAGAAAAGGGCAGCCCAGCCCTGCCATCCACTCGTCAGCAGGTTCGAACCCGTGTCTCCTAAGTGACATCCGAACTCCAGGAGAAAAGCCCACCACCTGCCTCTTTCCAATCTGAAAACCATTTAGCATAGAAACGACAGCTTAAACATTAGGACATTTAGGCCTCGGAAGGAAAAAGCAAATAGAATGCATACTCGCTTGCTAAAAACTTCCTTTGTTCCGTGCCCAGAAGTTTTTTCCCAGGGAGTCCGTGGGTTGAAATTAGCGTGAGGTTACTGAACTTCAGGTGAGAGCTAGGGAGAAAGAAAAAAATTAAAAACAGAGGTAAAGCACGATTCGGTGGAAGTTTATTCTACATTTGACCCTTGAACAATGTGTGGCTTAGGGTACCAACTCCTCATGAAGTAAAAAATCCATGTGTAATTTAGACGCTCCCAAAACTCAACTACTAATAGCCTGTTACCGATATCGTAAAACAGCTGATTAACACGTATTTTGTATGTTATACGTATTACATACTGTCTATAATAATAAAAGTATAATATGCTAATTAGACCAGACTCCTTCCGGACGAAGCCAGGGGCTGCGAGGGAAGCCCAGGTCCCAGGTGCCAGAGGGAAGCCGTTGCCGGCAGCCGGGGGAAGGAAGGCCTACTCTTGAATGAATTTTGTGCATTGGGCCTCTAGTATTATTATAATAAAGTAAGCTGAGAAAAGAAGATATTAAGAAAAACACAGAAAACCAGTTTTAAATAGAGAAGCCATATAGCCTCAGAGGCCAACCCCAAAACACTGCCACCCAGAGGCTGAGCCACAAACTGACTCTTAGGTGAACACAAATTAAGGCAGTCTGGATCACAAATACGGCCTGCTTTAAAATCAGGACTGTGATTTACAACACGGAGGAACAGTGTATCACAGGGAAATTCAACACTCTCCTAAATACCTGGCAGGACTAAGCAGATCCAAGCAACAGCAGCCTCCTGATCACCACACCCTCTGTCTGAGGAACAGCAGCTGTACGTGAAGCCTCCCCCCACCAGCCAGAAGAGCCACCACAGCTGTGAACAACACCCACCAGAGGAGCTGCTGCCAACTGAGGAGCAGCTGCTACCGCAACCACCCAAGGAGCAACCACAGCCCAAGGAGCCACTGCCACCCAGGGAGCAGCCACTGAACGACTCAACATCTAGATATGTCAGTGAGATCAAACATGGGTAGGCAAAGAAACCCCCAAAGGAAAGAAAAGGAGGACTCGCCAGAAAAGCAGCTAAGTGAGACAGAGGCATGCAACATGACAGAAAAAGAATTCAGAATAAGGGTCCTAGCGTGCATAAACCGGATGGAGGAAAAAATCAACTACTTATGCAAGAAGCAAGAAGAAACAGATGAAAAAATCAATAACTTATGCAAGACCCAAGAAGAAATGAAGAGCGATATAGCTGCAATAAAAAACACCATTGAAAGCATCAACAGTAGACTAGGAGAAGCGGAGGACCGAATTAGTGAATTAGAAGACAAGGAAGCAAAACACACCCAAACTGTACTGCAATTGGAGAAAAAAATTAAAAGACAGGAGGAGAGCCTAAGGGAGCTTTGGGACAACATGAAACGAAACAACATACGAATAATAGGGGTGCCAGAACAACAGAAAGATGAACAAGGATTAGAAAACCTACTCGAAGAAATAATATCAGAAAACTTCCCTGAAGTGGGGAAGAAAAAAGTCACACAAGCACAGAGAGTCCCAAACAAGGTGAACCCGAAAAGACCCACACCAAGACACATCATAATTACCATGGCAAATGTTCAGGACAAAGAGAGAATCTTACAGGCTGCAAGAGAGAGACGGAAAGTTACATACAAGGGATCTCCCATTAGATTATCAAATGATTTCTCAACAGAAACACATCAGGCCAGAAAAGAATGGACAGAAATTTACAAAGTGATGCAAAGCAAAGGACTGAACCCAAGAATACTCTATCCAGCAAGGCTATCATTCAAAATTGAAGGGGAAATAAGAAGCTTCACAGACAAAAAAAGGCTAAGGGAGTTTATCACCACCAAGCCTGCAATGCAAGAAATGCTAAAGGGACTGGTGTAAAAAGAAGAAATAAAAAGCTCAGAAAGAAAACAGCCACACACAAAAAGAAATGGCTATAAACAAGTACCTTTCAATAATAACTTTAAACGTAAACGGACTAAATGCTCCAACCAAAAGACATCGAGTGGCTGAATGGATAAAAAAACATGACCCATACATCTGCTGTCTACAAGAGACCCACCTCATTAGAAGGGACTCACACAGACTGAAAGTGAAGGGATGGAAAAATATCTTTCAGGCAAATGGAAAGGAAAAGAAAGCTGGGGTAGCAATACTTATATCAGACAAAATAGACCTCAAAGTGAAGGCCATAACAAGAGATAAGGAAGGCCACTTCATAATACTAAAGGGATCAATACAACAAGAAGATATAACCCTGGTAAACATATATGCACCCAATGCAGGAGCACCCAAATACATAAAAAAACTCCTGGAAGATATCAAAGGAGAGATCGACAACAATACAATCATAGTAGGGGACTTTAATACACCACTGACACCACTGGATAAGCCCGCTAGACAAACAATCAGCAAAGAAACAGCAATCCTAAATGACTCACTAGATCAGATGGACTTAATTGACATCTTCAGAACACTTCACCCCAAAGCCATGGAATATACATTCCTCTCAGGTGCTCATGGGACATATTCAAAAATAGACCACATATTGGGTCACAAGCAAAGTCTCCACAAATTCAAGAAGATTGAAATCATAAAAAGCTTCTTCTCAGACCACGATGGCATAATGTTAGAAATAAACTACAATAAAAACAACCCAAAATACTCAAACACTTGGAAGCTGAATAGCATGTTATTAAATATTGATTGGGTTACCAATGACATCAAAGAAGAAATTAAAAACATCCTGGACACTAATGACAATGAAAACACAACAATCCAAAACCTATGGGACACAATGAAAGCAGTCCTGAGAGGGAAGTTTATAGCTCTACAGGCCTATCTCAAAAAACAAGAAAAAATGGTAGTAAATCATCTAACTCTTCAACTCAAAGAATTAGAAAGAGAGCAACAAGAAAACCCCAGAGTGAGCAGAAGGAAGGAGATAATAAAGATTAGAGCAGAAATAAATGACATAGAGACCAAAAAAACAATACAGAAAATCAATGAAACCAAGAGCTGGTTCTTTGAAAGGATAAACAAGATCGACAAACCTCTAGCCAGGCTCACCAAGAAGCAAAGAGAGAGGACCCAAATAAACCAAATCAGAAACGATAGAGGCGAAATAACAACAGACCCCACAGAAATACAAATGATTGTTAAACAATACTATGGACAGCTCTACTCCAACAAACTAGACAACCTGGAGGAAATGGACAAATTCCTAGGAAAATACAACATTCCAAAACTCAATCAGGAAGAATCTAAAAATCTCAATAGGCCAATAACTATGGAAGAAATTGAAGCAGTCATCAAAAAGCTCCCAGCAAACAAAAGCCCAGGACCAGATGGCTTCTCAGGGGAGTTTTACCAAACTTTCAAGGAAGAACTAAAACCTATCCTCCTCAGACTACTACAAAAAATTCAGGAGGAAGGAACACTTCCAAGCTCATTCTATGAAGCCAGCATCACCCTAATACCAAAACCAGGTAAAGACAACACAATGAAAGAGAATTACAGGCCAATATCCCTCATGAACATAGATGCCAAAATCCTCAACAAAATCTTAGCAAATCGGATCCAACAGTACATCAGAAGGATCATACACCATGACCAAGTAGGATTTATCCCAGGAATGCAAGGATGGTACAACATCCGTAAATCAATAAACGTAATACATCACATAAACAAATTGAAAGAAAAAAACCACATGGTCATATCAATTGATGCAGAAAAAGCATTCGACAAAATCCAACACCCATTTTTGATAAAAACTCTCAGCAAGGTGGGAATAGAAGGATCATACCTCAACATAATAAAAGCCATATATGACAGGCCCACAGCCAACATCATACTCAATGGACAAAAACTAACACCATTTCCCCTAAGAACAGGAACAAGACAGGGATGCCCACTCTCACCACTCCTCTTCAACATAGTCCTGGAAGTATTAGCCATTGCAATTAGACAAGAAGAAGAAATAAAAGGCATCCAAATTGGAAAAGAGGAAGTAAAACTGTCCTTATTTGCAGACGACATGATATTATACATACAAAACCCTAGAGACTCCATCAAAAAACTACTAGACTTAATACATGAATTTGGCAATGTAGCAGGATACAAAATTAACCCCAAGAAATCTGAGGCATTTCTATACACCAATAGTGAACTTTCAGAAAGAGAGATTATAAAAACAATCCCATTTACCATCGCACCAAAAAAATTAAGATACCTAGGAATAAACTTAACTAAAGAGGTAAAAGACCTCTACTCAGAAAACTACAGGACGTTGAAAAAAGAGATAGAGGAAGACATAAAGAGATGGAAGAACATACCATGTTCTTGGATTGGTAGAATCAACATCATTAAAATGTCCATACTACCCAAAGCAATCTATAAATTCAACGCACTTCCCATTAAAATACCAATGGCCTACTTCAAAGATCTAGAACGAACTCTCCAAAAATTCATCTGGAATAAAAAAAGACCCCGAATAGCTGCAGCGATCCTGAGAAAGAACAAAGTAGGTGGGATCTCAATGCCAGATATCAAGCTGTATTACAAAGCCACTGTTCTCAAAACTGCCTGGTACTGGCACAAGAACAGACATATAGATCAGTGGAATAGAATAGAGAGTCCAGAAATTAGCCCGAACCAATATGCTCAATTAATATTTGACAAAGGAGGCAAGAACATACAATGGAGCCAAGATAGTCTCTTCAATAAATGGTGTTGGGAAAATTGGACAGATATATGCAAGAAAATGAAACTAGACCACCAACTTACACCATACACAAGAATAAACTCAAAATGGATAAAGGACTTAAATGTACGACAGGAAACCATAAAAATTCTAGAAGAATCCAAAGGCAACAAAATCTCAGACATATGCCAAAGCAATTTCTTCACTGATACAGCTCCTAGGGCAGTTGAAACTAAAGAGAAAATGAACAAATGGGACTACATCAAAATAAAAAGCTTCTGCACAGCAAAAGAAACCATCAACAAAACAACAAGAAAACCCACTGCGTGGGAAAACATATTTGCCAACGTCATATCTGATAAGGGCCTA